TGTTTGCAACACCGGGTAACCATTGGATAGACAGCTCTTTCAGAGCCAGTCCAATGAAGAATCAATGCTATGATTAGATGTGTTTGTAAGTAGGTTAGATGCTATTAACCGCAAAAAATGTGATATATATATATAACACCAACTTGCGGACAAGCAAGGTACCAACGTCACATTATACTAACACAAGACTGGTGGTAGCTTGTACCTGTACTGTAGTGTACTGTACTAATCAACTGAAGATAGTCAAGCACGCCAAGTACCTCTGGAGCTCGATCGTAACAGGAGTTGTCGATAGAGATCACTTGACCAAACCGAAAGCTAGGGTAACTTGTGCTAACTTGCGCCATCTGTGGTTTAATCATGTCAAGCTACTTCCCCTCCAGAGAATGATCCAAATATCCGTAGTTCGTAGTGTATTGCTTCGTTGTTTGGAGACATGGTCTCTCTGCGTTGATGATGTCAATCTAATTTATGTATTTGACCACCGATATCTTCGAAGCATTGCTTGGCTTCGGCTAGTGCAACCCGTCTTTCAGGCCGTATCCCAAAGATTAAGGATTTACGTTGTTCAGAGAGGCTGAGAGATCTGGCCCAGAATCGAAGCCAGTGGAGGGAATGCTGTACGATTTCTCTGTTGAAATCCCTTGCCTCATAAAAGACAAGCAAACAAAAACGGACAAGACATTTTTTCAAAAGACCGTGCTGGTCGAGGATAATGGTTTATTGCCAATAACAGTCAGGATATGGTTATATTGTCAATCATACAACAAAATATCTCAGTCGGAGCAATTTTTGCAGAATTCCCGCAAATTCACAGGATATGTAATGTAACGGTCCACTAACAGATGCACATTCTTGTTTTCACCGTACAAAACAGCAACAGTTTGCTCCAGCAGGTCTTGTTCATTTTTGGTCGTTGAAAGAAACCGCTGATCGCATCTTTTTGGGTACTACTCACAACACTCCTCCCCCCTCAGCGAAAAGGAACTCTGCATGCAGCGGGCAATGAGTTATTTCTTCCGAGAGTTCGAACGCGTCAGTAGTTGGTTGACAGTTTCTTGTAGCATCGTGATTAATTTCTGGTAACCCGGCCAGTAGGTTGATTTCTGACGACTCTTCGGCGTACAGCTGTGGTCCCAGAGCCACTTATCGTGTTCACTTTGATACGCACACCTGTCGGCATTTATCTCCTGAAGCATGTCCATTGGAGTCTTCTTTCTCCGTATTCTACATAAACTTTAGCATCTTGGGAGTAATTTCGCTGCTCCAGGGTCACCGACACGGCTTTCGACATGGTGATTGTACGCTGCTTCCTGCACTTTTAGAATCGCACTGGGTTTCCGTTTTACCGACACTCTTAACTTGCTTATCGTTTTGTTTTGCGGTCTGGCGTAATTCTGCATGTCCGTCGTGTTCTCGATAGAGAAAGTTTGATTTGCTGCGCAGTCAACTTTCGGCTCGTGTTCACCAACTGTCTTCACTGCCGTACTTGAGACTTCTACCGACTCAGTTGACTGAGATTCCGCCATACAAAACAGCAGCACTTGTGTCAGATCCCCCATCTCCATTGGGGTCTGGACTGAACAAAGATCAGCTGTTCCGGAAGGGGTCTTGTCTGGGGACACCGATTTGAACGAAATCAGGGGTTCTCTTATGGACCACTTGCACTGTGTTTCGGGGTAATTTTTCCGGCCAGCACTCTGCATCTTCCAGCTCAAAATCCCCATTGTTGATAGCTCTCTGGTTGGAATCGGTTCGAAACGCTGCCACCTCCGTTAGTTTCTTGAGAGTTGCCGTACTTCCAATAGACAGTATGATAAAGGCATTCACAAAAATTTGTTCTTCTTTTTGTTAACCGTATTGGTAATTAACTCCGGCGTTTGTATTTTTTTCCCGTTGGCACCAGAGCCGTTGTACTATGTATATATATATATATGCATATATATATATGTTCACCCGCGTTTGTCTTTCCTCTTTTTCCCTCATTCCTTCATCCCATCACGCAGGCTGAAGCCGCTTCCGATGAGGTCATTGTGGGCTGTCACCAGAATAGCTACTTAAACACTGTGTCCAATACAACCACGATCACTGATGAGGAGCGAAAATCCCTCGCGTCCAAGCTTGATTCGGTCTATTTCAATGAGGTAAGATCCATTCCGTAATCGGTCAAGCATTATTTGCTGCTCTTTCATCACACTGAATCAATACTGGCTTTAGCTCATGCACTTGACAACAGTTTTCAACGGTATTCAAGTGGCAATATCCAAGTTGCACTTTAAAGTTGCCGATCACAATTACCATATCCTTTGAGTGAGCACTCAGGAGTAGTCAAGAGAGGTTATTGTTTAAGTCATCTTTTATTTCCAGTTCATTGCAGTCATCCTTTTTCCCGATATGTAATTGAAGAAAGAATACAACTTATTTCCGGAAACATTTCACTGTATCTCTTCATTTACCTAATACAGTCGAAATGTATAATGAAAACTAACAAGTTATAGTTACTGTAGATGAGCTGTTTGTGTTAAATTTGTCCATCTTTCTAGCCATCCATGCCTTGGTGGAAATATGGACAAATGTAACATCAAACACTCATCCACGGTAACTATAACTTGTTGGTTTCCCTTTGATTATTCGACTGTATTATGTACCTGAAGAGATACAGCAAAATTTTTACGGAAATAAATTGTGCAATACTGTGCTGCTGTGTTCATTATTCTTCTGCATTTGATTCCATTCCTCGATCTAAGTTGTTACAAAAACTAGAATCGTTTGAATGCCCCACACAGTTTGTTAGCTTGGCTATCCAACTATTTTACCGATAGGGTACAAACCACTAGATTGGG